CGTTGCGTTTTTCAATCATTGTCTCTCGAGGGGATAATCAGTTAGTTAAATACAATAAATCTTATCCTTTAAACGAGCAATTCTTGTATATATCGGAATGTCGGAAACGGCTCCAGCGATTTTCATGAAATTTAGTATGTCGTAGATTCGGGGGCGAAAAATCGATCTAACTAGGTTTCATTTTTATAAAATGTCCTTTTATTCCTGTTTTCAGGGAATGAAAAATATCATTCGAATATGACGGTAAACTTCGCCGCAAAAAAAATGTTATAATAGCTCGGGGGCCCCAAAACAGACGGCCGTCGTTCGCACCACGATCATTTACACACTTATTTTTATACTTTTTTTCGATTCCAGATCATTGCTTTCTATATTTTTTATTTTTTTTCGATTTGTTACTTTGTTATATTTTCCCTTTTTTTAAAGTTCTTTCTTTTGTGAAAAACACCAGTTCATGTTTTCTTATTATTACGTAGGTAAGATCAAAAAATATTATGCATATTTCATTACTCATAAATACATGATTTACCAAAAAAAAAAAACAAACCGAGCAAAGCTCGGTCTTCCAGGTACTTATTATTAAGTTAGTTTTATTTAATATACAATCGAAGTAACTTTACATGTATGTATAATTATACTTTAGAGACATCCGCGGATATTTCTGATATCTAGGGACCTTAGTATAAGACTTTGATAATGTGTAAAACCAATAATAACTGATGCAGAATCTTTTCAAGTAATGCTTTTTTCCTTAATCTAAGAACGGAATTATTTATTTATTTTTTTTATAGAAAAAGGCGGCAAAAATTCACCTCTTCCCACGAACATCTCAACACCAGAGGGCATTTGCAAGCCCTATGCCGGTCTTTCTGGGAAAGTTATGCTCCCTTCTTGAACGTTTAACAAGCAGAATATATAGCACGGAGAAAAACCTCGCAGGATACAAATGACCGCAAACGTTCAGTCTGCTATGACTTGCTTTGCGATACCTCAAAGGTCTGCTATATGGGCATCGCGTTTCACATTCCACGAATAACGCAAGGGCCGCGAATCATAACATTCATTTGAACGCGACAATGGACGGTCGAAGACGAGAAATAATTAAAAATCTCATCGGGCGGAACGAAGCCACGCTTCTTCTTTACGAGTGGAACGGTCGCCCCGTTGTCGGGAGTTTTATAGATTAATAACGAAAGGGACACAAAGATGGAGACATTAAAACCTTTCTAGTAACAAAAGTGTGCACGGACGAGAAATGAGCAAGGAGGCCGCCCGTTGGGCCATAGAGGGAGAGTATTCAAATTAAGACGCACTCTGAAAGACTAAGATCGGAATGAAGTTAAGGAATTAAATTTTAATTTTTAATAAAAATTCATCCGATAAATACATTCACTAAAACTTTACTTGAAATTGTTTGTCAATTAATTCCAAAAGAAATATTTTTTTATCTATTTGCACCCTACCCTACTGTTACCCAGATTAAATTTACTCCTATGCAACTATAGAGTATTGTTTTTCCAAACAAACATTTGTAACTTGAAATGATCTTTAATTTATCCAAAACAAAAATTGAATGTAAACATGTCCTATTTGGTTGATTGTTTGTTGTATGATTTGTAGAGATAAAGTAGGTCATTTCACAAGAACATTCATAAATAGACATAATTGTCGAAGTTTCAACAGTTTAGCTTACTGTATAAAGTGAACACTTAGGATAGATTCTACTTTCAAGAAATATAAAACTAATTATATATATATTACAGTCGTTTAGGTACAGTGTATGGTATCATTATTTTTATTTAAGTTTTTTTTAAATAGGAACTAACTACCCATGTATACAGATATACGTAACTAAGTTAGGACCAACATAAAAGAAAAATATTAAATTGGTTGTTGTATTGTTATTTATTCTTACGATTCATTGCCATGGCCCCCCGTCTAAAGGGTGGTAATATAGAAATGCTCGAAATTTTTTTAAAAGAACGAGGGGAGACAGGTTCGGTACGCACCTGGGATAACTTTCTTTCATTCCATGAATACAAAGAGGATCTGGTTAGCGTAGCATCAGCGGGACGTCTTACTTTATTACGTCCCACCGGGAACGATGCAGTTGTATAATTCTCTAATTAAACTTCGCATCTAACTCAATGTTTATTAAACGTTAGGAGCAAACAACCTTAAGAGCGTATACCCTATCAAATAAATTAGTACAACATTTTCGGAACGTCCGTAACTAAATCTTTGACATACGTAAAATTATGAGAAGCAATTTAATGGTACAACCTGATCGTATAGTAAAATGATGTTCGATTTCGCAATAGAATTGATTACTAAAATTTGTAGAAAAATGCGCCAAGCATTGCTTTAAATGATAAAAAGCAATGTAGATAAAGGACGTTGATTTCGTCGGCGTAGCATTCAGCCGTTTAGCTTAGTGGCTAGAGCGTCAGGGCGCGAATCCCGAAGACGTGGAATCGAAAAACTTTTCGTTCCTTTTTTCTAAAAATTTTAATGTTTAATCTTAAGTACCGAGATTAGCACTATAAATTTCTAGAATTGATTAAATACAATTCATAAAAAAGTGAGACGCAACTTTCCTATTTTCCAATAACAACCGCCTCCGCGGCCAATCAGTGGCCTCCGAGGACAGATCGCGAAAGAGATCCCGCTCACTTGCTCCTTGGCTTTTTAACGAAATTAAAGTCCTCTGATTTCCTTCAGCAACAAGGTTCGCTGCCGCTCAAATCATTGGTGCTCGCTTCCGGATGATTACATTATGCAAATGGCACCCGTCCCCTTCTTGTAATCTATACTTTACAAGAAGTTCAAAGAACCGTTGCTGGAAACGATTAGAGTTGGGACTGTATTTTTACTGTGATTGAGCACCATGCCTTTCTGTCAATCAATTATTCAGTACAATTGGTGAAGGACCAGGGCCTAAGAGTAATGCTGAGTGAGGTAGAGCCTCGCACTCTTAAAGGTAATAAAGGCGGGGTTGCAACTACGGTTTTTCTAGTGGCAACCCCACCTTTATTGCGACAGCAGTACAGCGGTTGTAATCACTCAACTCAGGTGAATCTAGGTTGTTAAGTAAAATGAAAAACATTTTTTTCTATCTCTTAGATATAGTTCATGTTTTTTCCTCTTCTGACAATTATCTTATCTTAATTTAGTGATTAGTTTCCGTAGTATCATGGTGTCAAAGATTTCTGTTCAATGAAATAGGACCCGAATCATAAATAAGAAATAACAAAACAGCAAGTACATATAACTACGTAAGAAAAGTTTAATTGCAACGAGTAATCTTTATCAAAATATTTTTTACGATCAAAGAATTCTTTTCTGCTAAAACACTGTCTCTTTTGATGTTTAAACTTCATTGTTTTTAAATCTTCGCTTCGAGTTTTCCTCAAACAGATATCTTTGTATAAAACGTTTCATCGCCCCCATATTGGGGACATCGCAAGATTAGCGTGAAGAAGTATGTTTCTATTTAAAACTTGCATTTGTTTTTAAAATTAAAACATTTTTTGAACATCTGAGCATGACGATAGATTCCTTTTGTTCCCGACGCACGGAAAACTGGTTAGTCCTTATTGATTTGAAAAAATACTTATTTAGAATTATAATAAGTAATAAAAAAAATATCTAACAAATTCTCGCCACAGTATGTCATAGCTTATTTTAACTCTCAAAAGTATTTTTATAATATTAAATCCATATTTCATATTCAAACATAAACGAAAACTAAATCGATAGCAATATTTTTACGTTATAAAAGTTCATGTAACAAACCATATACTCGTATGTGCATTTTACAGGAATATTGTAATATTTTATGATGTAAACATTATTAAATTCTTCAATACACGTAGGTATATTGAATTTGAATTCCAAAGAGCATTATTGCTACGGTAATGCTACGGGAATGCTACGAGTCCTACACATAAATAATGAAAGCTTCTGTTTCTATATTTACATTGCAAATGGAAATTGTAGATGTTTTAAAAGATAATAGAAGTTCGTGTGGCATTTTAACATAAATATGCAGTTTGAAATTTTGTTATTTTTATTTCAATAATAAGCACTTATTATATTAGTCTTTTTACGTACCAATAACAAGTTTAGTTTTAAACTATTTGTTTAAAAATTTCCAACTAAGAGATTTTACGAATAACGTATTGTACTGTCACTTGTCTAAACAAATTGTCGTATAACTATAATTTAACCAATTAAATATGTTTGGTATCCCTTCATTCTATTACTAAAATGATTGAAAAATTTAATAAACCACACTGGTTAAATGGTAGGTTAAAATACCACCCAATTCCTATTAATTATAAAGCTATATGCAACCATAAGAAAATATGAAGATTGGCTTCTTCTCGTATTTATTAATAGAAAATTTGACGGCTGTTCAAATAACCTTATAATATAGGTTGTATGTGTCATTAGAAATCCGTACAACCATCACCGTGTTTGCTGAAAAGTGTTCGAAGTAAAAACAACATTCATTACGACAATATTCATAGTATCATTAAAAATATAATATTATATGACGACCTGAATGGCATAGTGGTTAGTGTACCTGCCTCCTGCGCCAGAGGGTGTGGGTTCGATCCCCACTACTGGAAAAATATTGTGTGATGAACATAGTGTTTTTCTAGTGTCTGGGTGTTTATATATCTATAATATGTATTTATTTACAAAAGAAAAGTATGTTTAAGTATGTTTATCAGTTTTCTAGTACCCATAGTACAAGCGTTGCTTAGTTTGGGACTAGAAAATGTTGTGTAAAAATGTGTCCTAAAATATTTATTTTATTTATATCTCCTAAAATATTTAACAAAAAATATTTTAAAATATTTAACAAAAAATATTTTAAAATATTTATTTAAAAAAAATATTTATATAGTCGTTAGAGGCCTCATTGATTCATTAATATTGCACTGTAGCCAATCCGAAATATTACGGGCCCGTTTGCATACCCCTTTGGCAGAATGGCCGGTGATCAGAATTATACACTGTGGCGAACACTGCCTTCCTTGAACACTTCGAAGAAGAGAGCGGGAAACTGGATAGCTCCAGGGCCGCTTATATCCGGGTTGCATTTTAACGAGCCCGCATTAGGTACGCCTCGCAACGCCTCCATTGGCTGCGGGCTATGAATGCTAATTCGTTCGCGGTACCAACGTTCGATTTTCGAAAATTTGGCGGCGGCGCCCAATGTAGCATTCCAAGTTTGAATTTCGCCTTCTTTCGTTAATACTTTTAATATAACGTGTATTTTGAAAGTTTTTGACTTTTACCCGTAGTGACGGTCTTTGATTTAAGTTTCATTTCAAAGTCTGGAAAATGAATTTCATACATTTAATTTACGAGAAACTAGTTGATAATAGGACTTTATTACTATTTACTTTTATCTATCATAAACTGTTCGAAGTTTTGTTGAATTATCTGTATATATTATTATTAAAATGTATTTAATTTATGGTTTATAATGAAATATCATTTATGGTAGAATCATTTTGTTACAATATCTTTTTCGTCTTAAAGTTATGCAACTTTTGAAATAAATAAAAACATTTAATTTCAAACGACTAAAATAAATAAAGAATACTTAATTTGAATTATACCTCTGCGAAATTTGTAAACTTTTACGCCAAGAGTAAATAAATAAATCAAAGTCTGTTAAAACTTCCTCAGTTACTTTACAGATTCGATATCGATATCTGCGCTGTGGTAATTTAAAAGGAAAACTTAATTTTGCTATCACCATTCATTATTATATTCACCATTTTATAAATCGAAGTACCTAACTAGGCTGCTTCGAAAGTTTGAAGACGATGAGTTTTTCCTGAGTTTTTTTGTACGTTTCACCAAAAAGGTAATCTCAATGTAAGGAAATATTTATTTTTATTCAATTAAAAATATCACAGCGTCTACTTCATATATGAGAATCTTTATAAAAGTATTTTAAATAAGCTATTATATGGTTTAATCGGGTGAACATGATAAAGTACTAGGTGAACATATAATAAGATGCTAATATGTACAAGACACTTTCATACACAATAAACACCGTGATCCCCGAAAACCTTATAAATCAGATTGGGCGTGGGATAAATCAAAGTGGCAGCCGGTGGACGGGATGAATGTTGCCCGTCAAAATGGTCCGTAAAAAATCGCATCTGGCGAACGTAGCAACGCGACTGAGCGTATCAATCAAGCCCTGAGATTGGATATCAGAGGTTTGCCAGAAACAAAAAGTGCAACGAGCACGCACGATACTCGGGATCATAGACTTCTAAAAGCAAACATCTTTGAGCGGATTTAATGATATATTATTTTCCTTAATTTGATAAACGTTCATTCACTGTTTTAATATCATTCATTCATTGCAGCGTAGAGTCCGCTGTTGAACAGTAGCCTACCCCAGAGCCTGCCAAGAAGCACGATCCTGAATATCTGCGTTCAAAGAAAAGTCCACGGCAACACATTTCGAATAACAAAGCTAACGGTCCGCAAACAAACGGTCACATCGGACCCGTGGAGAATGGAAAAATCAACAAACGGACATAATTCAATAAAGCCCATACATAATTCACCCTCAGTTTCGTTCGTGTGTGTGTCTGTGTTGTTCGGGCCTGTGTAATAACGATTTCAGGCAGGTGTTTCGCGCGAGACGGGCGATGCGTCGAAACAAATGGAAAGACGTGTTCCGAATATGCGATACTGACCCAAATACATCCAACTCACGCGTTGGAAACCTTCGGGGGCCCTCAGCCACCCCCGTACAAGGTCGATCTCAAACAGTATGGCATATACACGTAATACGTCTCAACGGTGTCTTATTCGTATATATACGTTTATAATACGTATACCAAAGGAGAGCAGCAATCTTGTCGTCCGTCCTTCGTACTAATTTAAGTAGATAGGAATTCTTCGGAGTGAAACACTTTTACTGAGTTAGTGCGTTTATACCATCATAAACACTCTCTGAAACAACCGAAATAAACGCAAAAGATTGCGACGAGATATAAACCTTGAAAAGACCAAAAGGATTTAAATTAAGTCGACCTAAGACGGCTTATTCTGAATTAACACAAGAGGTTCTATTCGTTCTTTATTTTGTTTCGAAAATAAACACACAGTTTAATAATATTTCTTTGCATTATATACACGAATTTAGTTAAGATTAATATTCCAGATTAATAATATAGTAACATCATTAGCTATATGAATCCCGAATAATTACTAATTAATGTCTGTTTTATATACACGTCATACATTAACCGAATAAAATTACCGAATTGACAATTCCAACTCAACTCTCCAGGCGCGCGATCGAAACGGGAGAAAATGATAATATTAACGATAATTGCGTATCGCGCGCGGCGACTCCAATTCCGCAAGATCCGCGCCCTTATTAGATCCGCACCGGATCTAAATACGGGCGCGGATATCGGCTCGTCTTACGCGGACCAGCGAGCCGAGCGCGACGCCGGATCGTCTTATTTGAAACGGGCCGCGGCGATTTCACGGCGCTCACAATGATTCGATAATGGCGTTCGGTTATCGGTTTGAGGATGGCTCAGTTCGGATTTTCAACGGAAATTATTTGCGGAATCAATTACGGCCGCCCGATGGAAAACCGTTTTCAATGCACTCAATTAAGTTTCGTGGAAATTTTCGCCGTGCCGGTCGCTTTGTGCGAATGGAAAATGTTTTTATTATTTCGCTCTTGTTTGACTTTTTTTGAGTCTAATATAAAACATTTCAATAGAGCTTCTTTCGAGTAATGAATTTTTTTTAAGTTTTTTAGGTATGCTTAAATAAATACAATCTAGTATGATTACCAAAGAAATATACACAGAAAAAAATGATTGTATTCTATACACAGCAAACATAGCACATATAAAGAAACTCACTATAACATTAGGTACAAAGGTTTATCTACTGACTACCATTAAATGAGTGAAAACTATTAATTTCTTCGTATGTAAAACCAAATAAAACATTAAACTTAGCTAAATTAATGAGTAAGCCATTTAATACTTTCGTGATGTAAAAGGACCGAAAAAGAACATGGACATTTTTTTTTAGAGGCCAACGAACCAGCGAATATGTCAGTATCGAATCTAATTTAATTTTGTTGCTATCCCAAAACCAATGGGACAATTCAACCATCTTGTCTATCTTAACACGTTGAACGCCACGTGAAAATATAGTACTTTTCATTGGAGCCACGCGGGTCACCCGTGAGCCACACCACGACATAGATTCAAACCTATTTTACAGGCCACTACACACTGATATCATACAAAAATGTTAGTAACGTGGGCCACGTGGCCTCCTACAACAACCCAGTCAGCTTGGTTCTCATGTCTCGCAATAGACTTAGAATTTATTTACAGTTTTCTTTACTTTTGTTGGGTTGTCCTCTACTAAAAATAAAAAAGTGGATATATTGCAATAAAGGAGATTCTATTATTAGTTTTTTAATGCTTCTTTATAAAAATGAATTAAATTACAAACATCTTAAGTACTGATGTTTCATTATTTTCTAGCGGCAGCCTCGATATTGTTAGGGGAACGACAAACAGCTCATTCCATCCGGTGTTTACGAATGCTGTGAGGCATTCAAAACCTCTGAAATAAAACGCAAAAAATCCGTAATTCATGACAATAAAAACTGCTTTATAAAGATTAAACCTGGGAAGTCTTACGTAAGAATTTACTATCTGGACATTCTTGTACTGAAATCATTTATATGAAATCATTCTTAGCTAAGCGTTTTCTGTTCCTTTGTTTTTTTATTTATATCTGCACAAATTCTAAAGGTTTGTGAGATGTAATCTAAGTACGCCTTACTCGTATTTTAATATAATTACGTTAAATGGCTCAGTTCGTATTTTCTATGGAAATCATTTGCGAAATCAATTACGGTCGCCCGATGTTAAAACCGGGTTTGATAAATGGATTGTGGTTTTAGTTGAGTGTGCATTCGACAGGACAGATTAATGACACATGCGTTTTATTTAAAAACTGAATCAAACGGTAAACTTTTCCCATCTAAAAGTTCCTCCCCCCTCCTAGGCATCACCTCGTAATTCATACCGCGCCGATAATCGCGCCATAACTCACAGTAGTGATGCACCTCTCTCACCGCTAATATCGGACTGCGCCGTAAAACTGAATGTCGCTACGAGGCGATCAATTTAAAACTAAAAATTTATCGCGGGCGCGGCGTCAGGGAAGGCGGGAAATTCGGATTTATGTCGATCGCCGAAGATACGCGGATATTTCCCATATCGCGAAATCATTTTCAGATGCGCTACCTAGATATATCGGTGATACGCTATCCGCAAACCCGGATAGGTTGCGAAATCCGTTCCATTGAGGAATGGTAGTAATTTCGATGTGCATTTCTCGTCATTTTGGAACGATGCAAACTTTATCTACAATCATAATTAAAAGGGGTATTTAAATTTCCGACTTACGATTTAAGAGTCCACATATTTAGATTTACAATTAAAAAAAAGAGAAAAACCGGTACGAGTTTTCATCAAATTTCATAAAATAGATGATAAGTTTTATGCACATATATGATTTGTATTATACGTGAAATATGTATAATATGTATAATACACGTAAAAGTGAAATGATGAATTTGAACGTATCCAGATTTGACAACTGACAAAATCATTTCCGAACGGGAATTGATTTCCTTGAAACCAGGTTTAGGATTTTTTAAGAAAAGCCACTAATTATTGTTAAAATATCCCATGTATCGATACAGTTCTTTATCTGTGTATGAAGGGTGTGAAGTACTTTTCGTATTAACATGTATATTGACATTGAATAGGAATAAGATTCCAACTAAATTCCAATGGCATATGTATCGATAACGTGTAATATGATGTCAATTCCATCTCCGTGGTTGGCAAATCACGAACGTGGAGTTTCGACGAAATTTCTTGCTCTTCACGACTATTAGTAATCAGTTGTTTCTGGGGGCATGTCTGTAACGACTTGGGACCTCAATCTTCATGACTACTAGTGGAATTATCTACCTGCATATCTGAAACCGTGAGCCGTGATAGTTCAGTGTCCGGGCGCTCGCCTTTAATTCAATGTACTCGAGCAACCTGAGTTCAATCCCCGGTGCCGGGACCAATGAAGTTTTTAACTTTAAGTGCTGACTTATCACGTGCTCCGCGGTGAAGGAAAACATCATGAGGAAACCTGCATATTTTCGAAATAATAACAAGAAATATATTTCGAAAATATGTGAAGTCCGCAGCCCGCAGTGGGGCCGCGTGGTGGACTATGCCTTGATACCCTCTGTATAGAGGAGGCCTTTGCCCAGCAGTGGGATATGTATAGGCTGTTACTTTACTTGACTTATATCTGAAACGATACAACTTTAAGACCTTCAAGGGAGCTGCAAGCACCTGCAACTTCTGTGATGTTTTGGCTGCATCTTGCATAGGCTGCCGTTATAATTATCACCAATTCAACCATTTACTTATTTGCAACATTCTCTTAAAAAATATACGCAGCGATGATTAACACATGGTGCTTCATAGAGCTTCGAAACGACGTAACGCGTATATTATCAAGCGATCCCGTCCGGAACGCTGCGTTAATATGTTTTTCACTACGATTGCCGGATGATTTACGGATATTTTCGAGGTCGGAACAGCTTTATTGGGAGGGAGGCCATTTGCGGAAATGTTAATTGTTATGACGCAAATTTACATACTCGTACCCAAAGCGCGTAATATTCAGGTTCGGCAAAGTGGCGTCCGTTGTTCATTTCGTTATTGATGAGAGTTCTGTGCTAACGATTAGCGATCGGCGAGGGTAATTAATCTGAACGATGATTTGCTTTCAGTCTGTATGAATATTAAAGCTTTATCGAACGCAGAAGTCTTGGGCTAACCAGAACCCGGAGCTTGATACGTACCCCCGCCTTTCTTGTATTTACGCGACCACTGCCCGTAATGCAATGAAACTAATTATAAAGAAAAAATGATTTAATGGTTTCGACGCGTATTTTTTTATCTGATAAAGTGGAAAACAAGCTGATGTTTCACCTGTTGTTAAGTGATAACTTCCGCCCATGGACTTTTGCAACACCCGTAGGATTGCAAACGCGTTACCCTTTTAACAAAGTGGCCCTTTAAACAAAGTGGCCCCGGCTACCTCACTCACCAGACGAAACACAGAAGTGTAACACTTCTACTTTACGCCGGCCTTCTGTGAGGTCGTGGTACTTAACCGGACGGACCAGCCCATTCGTGCAACATTGAAGACTTAAGTTGCGTGGTCTACCGGAGTTAAGCGTCTAATCCAAGTACACAATTTGTCGATTCCGCAGTTCTTCTTCAGCACTAGGTCCCACGTCCTGATATTACTGATAAGGTTAACAAAATCATCAATAAAATAACCGACGCCAGAATTTCGCTTCAGGGCTTCCCCGTTGTCGTCGGGCTGCTTACGTGGTTATCACGAGGCTAGCGAGTGAACGTTCAGTGGTGAGAGTGGACCGCGTTGAGGTGTAGTATGGATCCGATTCGCACCAGTTTGACTGATTGTTTCATATTGTCTAACAACAAGTATGAGAGGAATCGAAAACATTAACTAAGAAAGTCAAGATTCAAGTGACATTCAGCATAAAAGCAGTATAGATATCGTAAGGCTGGTAAATAAAATCAAAGTTTGATCACGATAAACGCCGATAAGCAGTTATAGAGCAAAACAAGGCGAGCGAATCCAATTTAATAATAAAAATAAGGAAGATTTAAAAGGAGGAGTTGTATACGTAAATAACAGCTTATACGTGTCCCCCTGCTGGGCAAAAGCCTTCTCTGTACGTAGGGTATTAGGACATGGTCCATCACGCGACCCCATCCCGGATTGGCGAACTTTCACCAGACTTCACATATCTTCGGAATATTTTTTTTAATATTTCGAAAATATAATATACGTTTCCTCAAAGTGTTTTATTCACCGATAAGTCACCGCTAAAAATTATCAATTTCGTTCGCGCTGACACGAATCGAAGTCAGGTCACTCAAGTGTAAAGCGAGCGCCCGGACACTGAGCTATCACGGCTCTTACCCGTTGCGTACGTACGAATATATAAATAAAAATATGTTGCACAAACTCGAAAAAGGAACACAACACTTTGGACTATGAGCTTCGATATCGCTGGAAAAAGGCACACGAACCGTGAATACATCCCGCTATGAATTTCCATATCGTAACGCATCGCTGTCAACGCTGACTCGCGACAAGGCTATCCAGATTTTTTTCCAGGGAGAGAAACAAGGAAAAAAACCGACAAACATTTTCGAAATCCGCCCTAGGCTGAACTCGCACCGCATGCAGTCATTGTATCGATTTTGCATCGCACTGGACCGTAGACAAAAACGGACATCGCCTACTAAATGTTTACGACGCGAAAATAGTTTCGAGAGTACCGTTAATTAATTGCGAAGCGGCCATCATCCATTTTCCCTATTAATATGATGTCGTTAATATAA